AAGTCGTTATCACGATATAACAGTCCATAAAAAAAAAATCCATGGCCGTTCTCGGCTTCCGTACAAATAAATTCAGCCATGAATATGGACTTGATACAATTGCATTGAGTTACCATTGGCGTGTATAGACACTGGTATGTAATATTGTATTTATTTATTTATATTCTCAGCTGTTTATTTCATTGCCCTCCGGCAGGTCTTGGAGAAAGTTTCTGGGGAAAGGATATGGCTGGATCGCAGCAATGATCCCAACACCACTTGGGTATGTCTACAATAAACACATTAATACTTGGTGAAAGACAGAACTGGGTGAGGATCTGAGGAGCTATACATTAGGCAAATTCGGGGTGTTTCAGTTTATTCTCTTGATCCCATCCTTGCATCCATGGGTTTCTCCATCATGCAGCTACAAGCCATTCTCTCCACTCTCAGAAGAGCTGCAAGAGTTCTGTCTTGAATCCACTTTTACTCTTGTGATTACAAGAGAATGGCTTGTAGCTTGAATCCTCAGTGGGTGGCTGTGTTCCCTGTTTTTGTGCCAATGAATAATATTGTTCACTTGATAATGGTAGATTTTCTTGTACATTTTAGGTTTTACTTTATTATTTCTGTATCTTGCTGATGCAAGACAGGATGTGATTTTCTCCTGCTCTAAGATGATATCTCTGATAATAGTAGATTATCTGTGGTGTTTGGTGATCTCCAGACTAGTAGAGGCTAATTTGTGGTTTCATTTAATGGCCTCGGGGGAGGGGTGGCTTCCTTCCTTTCATTCAGTGGTGTTTTTTGTTATTTAATTACTGTATATCGTTAATCAGATTCAATGTTGAACTTTAAATGAAGCTTGTAGTTAAAAGCATGTGGCACGCATGAAATGGGAAAAACTGGAGGGGTATTATAACACTGTACAGTGCATCCGTTCGGGTACATATGCCATCTGGTGAGAGCATTGTTGTAATAAGAGCCGGGATGTGGAGCAGAACACAACATTCATAACACTTAACAAAATTACTGCCAATATTGCCTCCATCATAAATTCTGACAGCAAACACACATGGAAATTTAAACAACTTACACCAAGAGAATATGTTATTTCAGATATTAACTGTGATACATTTTTTTATGGCTTCTGTTTTCATAAATGTTGTCGTTTTTATTGAGCACTATAGATGTATGCATCGTTGATTGAATCAACATCAGGGACAATTTATCCTATTGTATGTTGTGCTACATTGAACAATGCTGAACACAATGCCCCCAAGAGGCTTGGTTATTATAGACTTTGTTTTTAGAATATAAAAAAAACTAGTGAGTTATAAAATAATTATTTTTCTTTACTTTTTTGGCTGACAAGTGAAATCCGAGGTATTCCCATGTGCTTTGTGGCAAAACACATGTTTTCTCCATGGAGAGAACACAATTTAAAATCATTTTTGGCTTAATCAAGACGTACCTCCTTGAGGCTGTCTGTGTATGATTCTTAATTAACCGTTCTCTCAATTCTGTGACAACACAGAGAAAATGTACTGTTTACAGTAATTATACAGTAAACACTGATTTACTGTTTAAAACAAACAGCTACAGAAAACAAAAAGAGTAATTGCAAAACAAAACCCTGATGCAGCACTAAAGGGAATTTAATTAATAATGCTTGTTTGTGCAAGCTTGTTTTTTTGTAAGGAGCAAAACTGCAGAGAAGAACTTTTTTTTTTAGTGGTTACCCAAGTAGTTTAGTAGTACTTTGTTTTGAAGTGATCTAGTAAGCTCCGTATAATCTGTGTAAACCATGATCTGCCAGGAAGGAGAACACACCCCAGAATAATAAGCCCCCTCAACTGTAGAAATAATTTAATTTTGCAAGAATAATCAGTCATACTAATCTCCATAGTAGCAAACATAATTAAATTGGCCAGCCACGAATTTGGAGTCGCCTCTTCAAGAAACCATGAACAATAAATACATGCCTAACCTTGTCAAAGTACAACACAGTGTTAGTAGTCCCTTGTGGGATAGTTAATTAAAAGAAGTCTGTAGAAATAAGGTTTTTCTCAGTTAATATTATTCTATTCTCCTCAGGTCAGGATGTAAACAAACTCTAAACCAGAAAGCATTAATGTAATTGTAGAGGACTTGGGAATCCTGGACGAGGATCAATACAGGACTGAACACAAAGACACTGCAACAGACACGCAGCACAAAGTGTTG